CTAAATATGGTATTTTAATTCTCAATGAGGTAAAAAGCGAAAAATGTTGCTCTTTCCTTGGAAAGATTGGCTTATACCTAGCAAAAGCCCTTAAACTACACATCCTTAAGACTTTTAGCCCTCCAAGTTACAAGTCAAGGTTTGAGCCCTTTAACTTACTGTCTATAACAGTTTTAGCCCTTTGACTAGCCTTCTAACTTTGATCGTTGCTTGGCCCTTAGCAAAATTGGACCCAATCTGAAAATACGACCTAACTCATCCGTTATGGACGGGTGATGGGTCTTATGTATTAATTCAAAATTTGAAATGATCCGAACTGAAATTATCTAAGTCCAAATGGGTTGGGTCACGGGTGGATTGGGTCACCCGAAATGACCTGAACTTTTTTTTAATTTATTTTTATTAGATTATTTAAAAAATAATTTCTAATTTCTAATTTCCTTATTCTAAAAGTAGAAATAAATAAAATACCCAAACTCTAACTTCCTTTCAGTTTCTCTTCCTCTCAACTTTTCCTCTTCTCCACCCCTACTCTCTCTTTCTTCATCTCAAGCTCTTTAATCCTTCTCTTTGGTGGTACTTGTGTTAAAAATCAAATTATGTGGCATATAATGAGTTGTATTATATGATATTGTCAATTTTTTTTTTAAAAAAAAAATAGAAGCAAGAATGCCTACTAAAAACCAAAAGCCAGTGGTTGAAGAACTCTCATCATCATTAGAAGCACAATGACAAGAACATAAAAAATATCAAGGTTTGATCTTAGTTGCTAATTTGTTCTAAATTACTAATTTGTTCTTAATTAATAATTTGTTTTTAGTTAATAAAAATCAATCCTGAACCAATTTCTTCTTGTATTTATTTAGACATATTTTAAATTTACCTTTTAAACTTTAATATTGAATAGAGCTATACTTTTTGTATAGTGTCTTTTTAAATATTGAATAAAATTGTATTTTTTGTATAATACTTTGTAAATATTGAATAGACACTAGATATTAATATATATATATATATATACTTAACAAACTAATTGATAAAATGATTAAAAAATTATATTTTTTATAATGAGGGATTAAAAAGTGTAAAAAAATT